TCACTTAAAGGTTACTAACAAACTTTATAATTATATGTGTGAGCACTTTATATATTAGTGATTATGTGTGAGTATTCAGGAATTAAGTATCTTGGCACCGGATGTGTTTATCGCACAAAGCTTCCAAAAAGAGATTGTAACAGTAGCGTGATTTGTGAAAAAGGTTCTGACTAACTGGAAAGTGGAAATCCCTGATTTATAAACATACATGTTTAATGAAATATATAAATGTGTGTGTGTGTGTGTGTGTGTGTGTGTGTGTGTGTGTGTGTGTGTGTGTGTGTGTGTGTGTGTGTGTGTGTGTGTGTGTGTGTGTGTGTGTGAGTAAGTGAGAGAGAGAGAGAGAGAAAGTATTTGTGTGTGTGTGTATATCTGTATCTGTGAGTTCGTAAAAAAAAAATGTCAGTCCAAAGCATTATATCCGACCTTTTCTCGCTCATCTATCATGCCACCATTTGATCGCTGCGGTAATGTCATATCTAATCACACAGGGATAGCCGAGTGTACAGAGTGGCCTTACAGCGGCTTCTACAATGCATTACTGAACTGACAGAGAGTGGAACGGCTGGCGTGTGGATTTAAGTGCACCACATGCTATCCTGATAGACTGCGGTAGTTTTTTGTTTATTTCGTTTTAGACTGCATTAGCGTATCCATCTCTTTACTTGTATTTAGCAGAATGGATTTTTTATTTTTGGCTAGGAAAACACCGGCAGCCTATGTAAGATATTTTATTTTTATTATTATTATTATTATTATTATTATTATTATGCTTCGGTGACATTAGCCTTGTTTTCTTCATAAATCATTTCATTTACGTAACAGATGCGAAAGAATTGGTCGAGAGAGGGAGGGAAATTTCTTTCACGTATCTGTTTAAGTATACTTGCTTACGTACACCTTATATCCCTGTGCTTTCCAGTTTGCTTGGATGCAAAATAGTTATGTGTTTGGATTCCTTCAAGGACTCAGACCATCGCACGGCGGTTACAAGGCTAACCTTCGAAACTCTCATAATAAAAATATCGAAATTCTCATTCAGTTACATGTGAAAAACAGACTCCACTCCAGACTGTAATCTAGAGTCACGTCAGTCTAACAGATAAAAAAATGTCCTTTTTTTTCTTACGGTTCGGCAGCCTTCCTTACGCTAAGTTTCACCTTTAATCGGAGATGAAGACCGGTACAGGGTTAATACTCGACTGGGCCCACAGTAACTGGTTATTAACAACTTCGCAGAGTATAAGTGTGAAGTTTACATGTGTGTATATGTAGAAGTAAGTATATATATATCCATACATGCATAAATATATACATCCATGTGCACACGCGTAGACGTATCTGTTGCGTGCGTGCGTGCGTGCATAGCCATTTGTGATCCTCGACACCCCCCCCCTCCTTCCATTTCAAGGTAAACAAGCTTCTGGACAATAACTCTAACAACAAAAGAAAAGAATACAGGAGCCCTCCCCCCCCCTCCCCCCGCCGCCGCCCCTTTCCACCACGCGGATACAGAGGTCACTCACATCCTTCTAAAACCAATAGTAAGCTAAGGTCACTCGGTCAGTACTCACATATCAATACTCACATACTATTACTATGCCAACTCCTCCATATATTCTGGTAATTTGACTTGACTGGCTAACTGCAGATTGCATTTCCATGCCAGGAGATACGTTTGTTGCATTTTGAACACTATACCGGTTTTGGAAGAGTAAAATGCCTGCTCTATGGAGGCAAGTCATACAGATAATGGTGGTAAAGATGATGAAATGTGTGTGTGTGTGTGTGTGTGTGTGTGTGTGTGTGTGCATTCATATATATATATATATATATATATATATATATATATATATATATATATACATATATATATATATATATATATATATATATATATATATATATAGAGAGAGAGAGAGAGAGAGAGAGAGAGAGAGAGAGAGAGAGAGAGAGAGGGTGGGTGTGTATATACATATGCACATGTACACATATACATATACACATGTACACATATACATATATATGTAAAAATATACATATATGATATATACAGTACACACATATATATATATATATATATATATATATATATATATATATATATATATATATATATATATATATATATTTATTTATTTATTTATTTATTTATTTATATATACAAGAGTGCATATATAATACATATATATACGTTTGTGTGCGTGCGTGTGTTCGTACGCATGTGTACATGTGTGTCCATGCATGTGCATGTGTGTAATCCAGGCGATTTCGTGTGCATCAGTAAGACACTTTCCAACACTATTGATATCTCAATAAACTTAGCAAATCCTCCATAAAAAAATATTTAAAATATACACGTACAAATATTGTATCGATATTTACACACGCCACTGTTAACAACCGGCTTGCTATAGCTGAAAGCTTCTAAAACACTAGCTGACTTCACAAAATATACGGATCCATTCTAGTAATGACAGCAGAAGCTCAAAATTCCTTATCAACAGCATATCAAATATCTAGACAGCTATACTAAAAGCGGCTTTTTCATCATCATTACTACTCCTGCTATCTACCTTTACTGTTCCAGGTAGAAGTGAACAGACACCTCCAGTCAAGAGAAGTATCATTTACGACGGCAGAAATTGCTGCTTGTAACCTAAATGACTTTGATATCACCTTCAGCTTTAAGTACCTCCCTGGTGATGCTACATGGCCAATCTCCCGTCTTTTTATGTAGTGACACGGCCCTCGGCATAATGACATTCTCGACTACATGAAGAGTAACCTGATATGCTATTGGTAGCCGGAGGGTTTGTTAAGGCAAGACATATACGCAATACTGGAACTTCATTGACATAAGTTTACAGGGTATTTACTCATTATTGTTTCAAGAATTGACAAGGAGGACATAAAACTTTCATCTAGAGTTACGTCTCATCTACAACACACTGATCGTTTACTGCCAAATCACCAACTCTTGTAAGACAGATTCTTGGAATTGCAGTCCCCTCTCATTCCCGGCAACGAACTACATAGATGATGTGGAGAGGGAGGATCCGCGGAATAAGAAACAGCTTGTCTTCCATGTCACCTTTGACCAGACCGGCACCCTGGAAAGACACACCAGTCTGCGGCAACAACTCAGCGTAAGAAATGGCAGTTGCAGGCCATAATAATCAGTCTTGATTGGGGTAGAGTGATTATCAGAGAGATTGGGTCTGCACCAATACATGCGCCATGACTCTTCAAGGTGCAGATCCTTAGCCGCTTGTAACACACAAACACACACACACACACACACACACATATATATATATATATATATATATATATATATATATATATATATATATATATATATATATATATGCAACATATATACATACAAATAGATGGATAGATAGATAGGCATATATAAATAGAGACTGGAATTCCACAAAATTCGTAAAGTGGCAGCATTTTCGCGGTCACCTTCCAAAAATAAAAGTTTTCAGGTTCATATCCGTTTTGTTTTTTAAGGATAATTTGGAAGGGAAAATCGTAAAATGTGGGAAAATCACAGTTTTTCGCGTTTTTTCGAACACCGGTCCTGTACTTTCGTTGAAATTCAGAGTACAAGGGAGTGGACAAGCTTCCTGCAAAAGAACTCAAGTTAATGTCTATAAGTTTTTTCAATAAACTTTTTTTTCTTTATCCTGGTTGCTGTTTTTTCTTTTCTTTTCTTTTCTTTTCTTTTTCCTCTCTTCTAGAATCTGGGAAAGGTCCTTATGCATGCATACACAGTCATAAATAAATCTAATGATTATGAATATGCGCATATATTATCTAAATGTATATATTTACGATGACACACGTCTGCAAC